TGTAAGAGATCAGTTCCAGAAGACCACGCCCCTGCCATGATACAGAGTTTGCAAGGAGGGCTGGGAGGTGTTTAGTAACCAGGTGTAACCAGGTGTTATCATCTTCAGCAAAACTGATCAGACAGTACCCGACTCTGTTGTAGCACGATGCTGGTCACGCAGTGCTAGGTCGTGTTTGTGGAGGAATGCTTCATTCTCTCTTGTGCGGTCTTTCTTATGCTTCCTTTATTGATTTATTTAGAACTCTTAGTAACAGGGTGATGAGAATTCAGGTGAGGTGAATGTCTCCCCCCAAAATTCATATGTTGAAATCCTTGTCCCCAAGGTAACGATGATAAGAGGCAGGGCCCCTGGAAGGTGACTGGGTCATGACTGGGATGAGTGCCCTCAGCAAAGAGACCCCAGGAAGCCGGCTTGCCTCTCCCACCACATGAAGACCCTCTGAGAAGGGGCCATCTGTGAAGCAGGAAACCCACCCTCAGCACCCACTGTCCCTGCCAGAGCCTGGATCTTGAACTTGCCAGCCTCCGGAACACTATAAGCAATAGATTTCTTTTTGATACTTTGTTATTGTAGCTGGAATAGGCTTAGGCGGTTCTGATCTCCTGTATTTGGAACAAACACTTGCCCTTTAGGGAAAGCAGAGACACCGTTTGGGGCGGGTGTTCTATGAGCTCCATTGTATTAGCTGATGTGACTGAAGCACAGACTGGTCACAGTGTGGACGTCTGTAGAATTGTCAGCTAGAGGAAAATATAAAATTGAATCGAAAGCTTGATGCTTGTGGAAGGAGATGTGTCAGTGTTAGCAGTGATGACCCTGGAGAGGGGAAGTTGTGGGGAGAACTCTTCATGGTTCTTCCTGGAAGTGAGCAGTTATTATTGCGGGAATATTTTTTTAAAGATTTATTTATTTATTTGAAAGGCGGAGTTGGAGACATATAGACACACACACACACACACACACACACACATACAGAGAGAGAGAGAGAGAGAGAGAGAGAGAGAGAGAGAAAGGAAGAGGAAGAGGAAGAGGAAGAGGGAGGGAGGTAAGTCGGTTGATCGGTCGATCGGTCGATTGGTCGATCGGTCTTCCCTCTGCTGGTTCACTCCCCAAATGGCCACAACAGTTGGAGCTGGGCTTCTCTGAGGCCAGGATCCAGGAGCTTCTTCCCAGTCTCCCTCATGGGCGGAGGAGCCCACAGACTTGGGCCACCTTCCTTTGCTTTCTCAGGCACATTAGCAGGAAACTACATTGGAAGTGGAGCAGCCAGGACTAGAACCAGTGCCCATATGGAATGCTGACACCACAGGCAGCGGCTTTACTTGCTATACCACAACACCAGCCCCAGGGATCCTTTTATAAAAAAAGGGAAAAAAAACTAGGTGTTCCACATCTGATTCAGAACTTCTGGTCAATAACATTGAGTTAGTGAATTTGAATGACTATGAATTTTCAGAAAGTCATTAATTTACTACTTCTTCACTGTATCCAAATCTAATGAGACATCAACATAGAGGAATTTGACTATTTACTCTTCTTTTAAAAAGAGATTTATTTGAAAGGCGGAGTTACAGAGAGAAAGGGAGAGACAGAGATTTTCCATCTGCTGGTTCTCTCCCCAAATGACTACAATAGACAGGTCTGGGTCCACAGAGCCAGGAGCCAGGAACTCCATCCGGGTCTCCCATGTGAATGCAGAGGCCCAAGCACTTGGCCCATCATCTGCTGCTTTCCCAGGCACATTAGCAAGGAGCTAGGTCTGAAGTGGAGAAGCTAGGACTTAAACTGGCGTTCATGTGGGATGCTGGTGTCACTGGGGCTTAACCCACTGTGCTGCAACACCGACCCCTCTTTACCCTTTTTAAGAAAGGCAACTTTAAAGAAGACTTGTGTGGCAGGGCTGTGACTAGACATTGATGATCACAGCCTTCATGGTAACCTTCATTCTACTACCTGGCACGTGGGTTTATGATTTGGTCTCCAGATCTGCTGTAGAAAATGCAATGGATGGGATGATTGGTACAAAGACAAAAAGACATCCTTGTCCTTAAGGATCATACCATCTCATTGGGTGTCGGGGGCATAAGCAATTATAATCCATCTGCTTGTTGCTATAATAAGAACATTCGCTTACTCATCAGATACTCTCTGAGCATCTAACATGAACACAGCAGCACAAGATGCAGTTCCTGTTTACACAGAACTTAGAGTCAAGTGACAGAGACAGACAAGAGGCTAATTTCCAGGGCTGACAAGGGCGAGGAAGGAAGTAAACCGGGCTCCTAAGAGAGCAGAGAGAGGTAGGTACTTTTGATCGTACTGAAGATGACCCTCAGGGGAAAGCAAACACTCTACACCCCAAATTTCCACCGGGACCACCCTGACTGCCTAGTAACCCATCAGACTCTTCACACTCTCGGGGCCAGCGCTGTGGTGTAGCTGGTAAAGCCGCCACCAGCAGTGCCAGCATCCCATATGGGCACTGATTCCACTCCTGATCCAGCTCCCTGCTAATGCACCTGGACAAAGCAAGGAAAGATGGCCTGAGTACTTGGGTCCCTGTACCCTCGTGGGAGACCTGGATGAAGCTCCTGGCTTCTGCCCCATCCAACCCCATGGCTATTTGGGAAGTGAATCAACAGATGGAAGATTCTCCTCTCTCTCTCTCTCTCTCTCTCTCTCTGTAACTCTTTCAAATAAATAAATACATCTTTATTTAAAAAGAGAGAGAGAGCACAGCAGGGCCTGGGCAAGTTGCAGCGTGGAAGAAGGAGCATCTGGACCCCTGGGGTCACCTGTCTTTCACAGGGATCACTGTGCTAGGAATGAGGCTGGATGGACAGTGGAAATGTTCCAGGCACACAGGGTGGGAGGAGGGGGAGGTGGGAGAGGAGGCTGGAGAGGGAGCCAGGGGCAGCTTGTGAGAGGCCTCTGTGTTCAGCATGGCCGTGACCTCCCCTCCTGGAAATGGGGGGGGGGGGGGGGGGCTGGCTTCTGAGCAGAGAATTGGCATAACTGGATTGGACTGTTAGAGAGCCCTCGGCTCTTTGTGAGGATGCTTTGGAAGGGAGGGGACATGGGCCAGGGAAGCAGCAGGAGGGCTGTTCCGAGCACTGTTCTGGGAAGGAGGAGAACAAAGGCAATCATCCTATCAGGGAAGACAAAATAGGGGGAGCATTCAGTCAGTGTTCATTTAAAGCTCTATCCATTTTGTGTGCAAACAGCTTCTTATTTATGTTTAAAACTTTTTATTATAGAAGCGTGTAAAGAAGTATAATCACATCATGAACCCCCATGTACTCGTCACCCAGCATTGACTACTAGCCACATGCGGCTGTTCTTGTTTTAATCATTCTCTTCCTACCTGCCCCCCAACATCCCCGCTAAAGTTTTTGGAAACAAATCATAGATAACATAGCAATTATTCCCACATACTTCCCTAAGTATCTCTAATAGATCAAAACGTGTGTCATAAAACCACATGGTGTGGTCACTCCCAACAAAATCAGCAGTACTACTTGCATATGATCGAGTACCCAGTCCATGTTCATGTCCCTCCAGTGGTAACAGCTGGGTTGTTTGGATCAGGTTGTCGACACGTTGCTTAGGTCTCTAGTTAGAGAGGGAAGGTGGCTGGGGGAAGAATGGACAGGACTTGGTGATACCTTGCCACTGGCACAGGTGTGCACCTGCTTCCTTCCTACTCGCTCTTCTCAGCCCCACCCTCCTAGGGGCTAAAACGGGAATGAAGGTGCTTTGCCCGGCATTCACTCAAACTATTTCCAAGGTGCTGGCCAGCCAATGCTGAGGCCCAGGGTCAGGTTAAAGAGGGAAGCTGCTTCCTAGCGTGCAGCCTTCCACCCCCTTGGAAAATTCTTCCCCTGTCTGCTTTGTGTGTCCCATGCCCAGAAAAGCCTTTCATTACCCACTCAGATGCCAATGTCCCCTGACTGTGTAAAGTTTTTCCACAGTTGCGAGTGAGAATACAAAGGCCCTTGTGCCCACCTGGGGAGAAAGTGGGGCAGAGTCAGGGCTAGGGAAGGGAACCCGGGCAGTCCCGGCCTGGCTGCACCTGCTCCTCAGCTTGGCTCATTTGAGAGAACCACACTGGCAGTGAAGAAGCCACCGAGGCCTGTGGCCCACACATTCTCCGCTGAGGATTACGAGTTGAGCGTATTAGAATGCAGATGCCAGGGCTCACTTCTGACCTCCTCACAAGGCACACTTGGGTTTGAAACCACTATCTCAAAACTGAGAACTCGGTCCCCAAAGACCCGGATGGGATCAGTGATTCCGTCAGTTTTGGAACGACAAAGAATGAAGTCAATCAGGACTTGACGTCAGCTTCTGGTAAACCAGGGATTCACCCTGGGCTCTGGGGCGCGGGGGCAGCGGAGCTGTGGGCTTCCACGTCCCCTGTCAGCATGGAAAATGCATGAGCACCCTGAGCTGTTGCATGGGCCGGGATCAGGGAACCCTGCTGTCAGGGGGCACATCCATTGGGGAGCTTCTGGTTCCTGCCAGCAGCAGCATTAAATGTGGTGGGTGTGACTGGCGAAATCTCCTAGAGACAGTACCGTGAAGTAGAGGAAGACACACAGCTGCCTCGGAAAGGAAGCTGGGAGAAAGACATGAACAAGGAGGCAGCCCCGAGGGGCACAGTTAGGCACCTCCTTCCCGCTCGGGCAGCTGTGCGCTGTTTTCCTTCCTCCAGGAGTCTTGCTCGGTGTTGCTAAGCCAGCAGTCAGAGTGTTACTTTAGTGTATTAAATGTCACCATGAAACTATTTGTGACTGACCAGCTCAGCGGGGTGACTTGGAATAAGAGCCGTTGGTTTTCTCAAATAGATAAGAGCATCTGGTTTCTGGAAGCAGAAACGGTCCTGCGGCAGAAAGAGAGCAAAGAGTTTTTGAGCACACAGAGCAGAGGCCTGTGTGTGTGTGTGTAGAACCCTGGAGCACACTCTGATACATATAACTTGTTCCTGTCAATTACAGCTTCCCACAGTCCTAGACAGCAGATCTCAAGGTATCGATCTGAGATCCTGGGGAAGAATATTATCAGACATGTCACCGAGAATTCAAGAAGTAAGTGGCCCATTGATGGTAATTATAATTTCATTGTTTTCTACCATTTTGTCATATATATTAAGTAATTGTACCTCACATCTGTTAAAGGAGAAATACATTTGATCCTTCTATCCAGCAATTTCAAAGCACCTGTTCATATTCCAGATTATCCATGCTCCCAGGTAGGAGGCAAAAGGAAAGGAGCCATCATTCTGCTGCTCGACAGAAGTAACTTGCCTGGCGTAGCCCAGGCCAGAGGGCTGTGCTAGGTCTCTAGTACTGAGGTGATCTTACAATCCACACAGACTCACACTGCCAGACACAATGGCACTGGAGGCACTGTCCCAACTGCTTGATCTAAACTGACTCATTTCATCCCTCCAAAATAATTTACTTTTTTTTTGTTAAAGATGTACATTTTTTTAAAAGATTTTATTTATGTATTTGAGAGGTTACAGACAGTGAGAGGGAGAATCAAAAAGAAAGGTCTTCCGTCCACTGGTTCACTCTCCAAATGGCCGCAACGGTCGGAGCTGCACTGAGCCAGGTGCTTCTTCCCGATCTCCCATGTGGGTGCAGGGGCCCAAGGACTTGGGCCATCTTCTACTGCTTTCCCTGGTTACATCAGAGCAGAAAGCTGGATTGGAAGAGGGGCAGCCAGAACTAGAACCGGCGCCCATATGGGATGCCAGCACCGCAGGCGGAGGATTAACCTACTGTGCTACAGCACCAGCCCCAAGATGTGCATATTTGAATTAACGTCTGGTTGTCAAGCCTTCTCCTATATAGAAGACAATCCTTCTGGAGCCAGTGCTATGGCACAGCAAGTTAAGTCACCGCCTGCAGTGCTGGCATCCCATATGGGTGTCAGTTAATGTCCCGGCTGTTCCACTTCCCATCCAGCTCTCTACTGATACACTTGGGAAAGCAGTGGAAGATGGCTCAAGTGCTTGAGACCCTGCCACCTATGTGGGAAACCCAGAAGAAGCTCCTGGCTTCGAACTGGCCAAGCCCTGGCCATTGCAGCTATTTGGGGAGTAAACCAGAGGATGGAAGATCTCTCTCTCTCTCTCTAACTCTGCCTTTGAAATAAATAAAATCTTTTTTAAAAACCCAATTCTTTCTCTTGATGGTTGAGAAGTGCTGGGGATATGATGGTGAACTGTCAGACGTGGTCGTGGCCACTGCCCTTGCACGCTACACAGTCCAACAAGGAAGACCTGGGCAGTAAGTGCTGCTCGTCCAGTGTGGTGAAGTGCTGTGACAGGGAGACAAAAGATGGAACATAATTTCCCCTGATCTCATTCCTCGTCAGTATTCCCAGCTGACTTAGGCTCAGCCAACTTGGGAAACCCCCTGGTCGTCATCTGTTTTTCTGTAACTAAGCTGAGCGGAGCAGAGCAGCAGTGCGGGGCAGAGCACGTTGGAAACGAGCCCACTGTAGCAATGGCCACCTGCTGCCGTGGGGGTCTCTGTTGAACATTCCTGTCTTCATAGCATTCAAAAAATGCATATCAGTGTGATGGGGTTGAAGTTGATAGAGAGTGTGAAAAAAATCCCCACGGCATAGCACCGCTCTGAGTTCTGGGTAGGAGTTCCAGAAGATGTCTCGCCTGTCTAGATAGCAAGTCTAAGCATTTGTGAACTAGCCTGAAGCAGATGGTCCACTTTATGTTAGTGGGTATGAGGCCATTTGACCCTGGAACAGCCCCCGCACCTCTAAATGCTTTGACTAGATGGGCAACCTCATAATGGTAAAAGCCTCTTCTAAGACTGCCGTAAGGCTCGCTGCTGTTGAAGCGATTCGAGATTCTGACTTAATTGCTGAAGCACAGACTGTGACCCCAGACGTGGCTCACTGTGTGGACTGCACATGGCACTCCTCAGCTTCCCAGGGCAGGTGCTGGCGCGTGGACAGGGAGAGGGACGGCAGGTGAGCATCCCTTCCCACGGTGTGAGAACTGTCTTCAGGCTCATCTCACCGAATCCTGATGCTTTTAAAAACCCCCAAGTGCCCCTGAGAGTGAGAATATGGTATGCTTGGGGAATAAAAGTGGCACTGTTTTTATTTTGTGTTTTTCCCTAAAGCAAAGCTAAATGGCATTACAGAAACCAAGATACCCCGGCAGCTCCTACAAACTTGCACGTGGTTCTCAGTATTACAGAGCAATTTTCAAAGGATGAGGCCAACCTGTGCTACAGACACCTGTGTGCAGAGGAGGCGACCACCAGCCTCTTCTTAGTGGGCACGGAATTTAACAAGTGTTTTCTTCAAGAATGGAGCCTTGATTCTATAGTTGCAGGAAACCTCTCTCTCTCTCTCCCTCTCCCTCTCCCTTTCTCTCTCTCCCTCTCCCTCTCCCTCTCCCTTTCTCTCTCTCTCTCTCTTACTCTCTTTCTCTCTCTCACACACACGGAGAGAGAGAAAGAGAGATCACAAGCCACACATTTAAGGGAAAATAGAAGAGTTTACATTTGACAAAGTTAAACTAATAAGAGGATATTTTCCAAATATAAGAAACTACATTCTGAACTCTTTGGACAAAGAAATTGGCTCTGACCTTGACTTTCTGGAACAGAGCCGCTCCTCCATCCTTTTATTTCCCCAGATTTTCCAGCCCCATCTTGATAACAGACCCCAAGACCTGCTTGTGGTCCTAGGCTTCTCTGCATTTCCCCCAGCACACATTTCCAGGGAATTAAAGGAGACTGGAAAGCACAGAGTGCTAGTGGCATGCTCTAGGACTCGCTCTGGGACTGTCTTTACGCCTTGTCCTCTTTGAGTCCCTGAGCAGATGGCCACAGGATTGGCTTTTCTTGCTTTCCACAGCAGGATGGATGAAGGATGGCTGAGAATACGCATGTTTTCTTTTAAAAGGTAGAAGTTGCAAGGACAGATACGGGGAAGTCTTGATTGAGACTGCCTTAAGCTAACTGGAAGCCTTCGCTTTGCCCTAGTTCGCCCATCGGCCGAGTGTTCAGGACTTGCTGTGGGTGACCAGACCTCTGCTGCAGGACGGCAGCCCGGAGAGCTTCCCACGGCTGATGGGCGCGCTGTCCGACCTGCTGTGTGGCTACCCGGAGGGAGGAGGCTCGCGGGTGTTCTCCTTCAACTGGTATGAAGACAATAACTATAAGGCCTTCCTGGGGATCGACTCCACGAGGAAAGACCCTGTCTATTCTTACGACAAGAGAACAAGTAAGTGTCCAGGGTCTTGTGTGCAGATCAGCCGCTGATGTTGGGTGTAATGAGAGTTTAACACCTCCAGGTGAGGCCAGTTCGGGGCGTTGGGCCTCTCTGGGTCTTGGGCAGACAGAGCGCTCCTGGAAGATCTGTTTCCCCTTGCAGACAGGGGCAACGCTCATGCAGAATACTGGGTGAGGGCTGCGGAAAGAATGGAGGCCCCTTGGGGAAGGGAGCAGAGGGGCGGCTTCCCACCGATGTAATTGAACCAGGGCTCAGTTCTAGAGGAAGGGAAGAGAAGAGTGATAGCAGAGGAGGCAATCCCCAGACGCATGCCAAGCTCGGGTCAGAAGGGCCTGGCACGTAAACACGGCTGGGGCCGGGGGGAGGGGTTGTTTTCACAATCACAGTGCAATGAAAATCTGTGTGTGTTGTGTGTGGAACGGAATTGCATTCCACATGGCAAGTCCCTGGCAAGGAATGTGCCCCTTCTTCCACTTCTTTTTGGCTCCTGTGAGGTACATAAAGGAGGGTGGGGTGGGGAAGGAAAAGCAAGCGAGTGGCCTTCTAGTTAAAAATTGAAAAGAGGCAGCAAGGGACACACCAGAAGTTGTGGGGCCCGGAGACAGCTACACACAACAAAGAAGTTAAGCAGCTAATTGAAGGGAAATTGCGAGGCTAAAGCTGAGCT